TTTCTAGCCTCTGTTGTGTTCCTGGGTCACTTTTTCTAACCATACACTAATGCCACCATGTCTTCATTTTTATAGATTTACAATAGATCCTGATAGCTGACATTACAAATCATTCCACTTTGTTTCTTAAGGTTACCTCAGCTATTACTGACATTTTCCATTTTCTTATGAATTTTAAACCAGCTTGCCAATTATCGGAAAAAAATAAACTGCTGAGATTTTTTTTAGAGAGAAAGTACATTGACTATTTAGGTTGATACCTTTAAATACTGACTCTTCCATCTTGAAATTTTTATTCTACTCAGGTATAGCTATGAAGTGAGAAGTGATTATCAGAAAGCTGAACTGTATAGGATTCCACCTAGAGTGAAGGGTCCTATACTTCCCATCTATCACTGAGATATTATTTTCTCTTAAAACAAAATGTATTTAGGGCCTGGCGTCGTGACAGAGTGCATCAAAACACTACCTGCAATGCCAGAATGCCATGTAAGTCTGGCTCAATCCCGGATTCTAGACTTCGATCCAGCTCCCTGCTAATGTGCCTGTGAAAGCAGCAGGAGATGGCCTCCGACACCCGCGAGGGAGCCCCAGATGAAGCTCCTGGCTTCGGCCTGGCTCAACCCAAAGGCCACTTGGGGAATGAACCAGCAGATGGAAGATCTCTGTGTCTTCCTCTCTTTCTGTAACTCTGCCTTTCAAATAAGTAAGTAAATTTAAAAAAAATACAAATAGCTGAATTTCAATGAGCATATTTGAATTTTACTTTAATAAAAAGAGACAAACCATAAAATAACTTAGGGTCACTTTTTTTTTTTTTTTTTTTTTGGTAATTCCAAAGGTCTGAGATAAAGTTAGGGGGATATATTTTGGCTGCTAACCACTGCCCTTCCTACCAGAGCCCGCATCTTCCATTTGAAGGAAGCATCAATATATTTGTGGGTGACGGGAAAGGGAAGGAAGTAGGGACCGTTTCCTACTGCTACCTCTCACTAAGGAAGCTAGGATTTAAATACATGATCTAGTATGAGTGTACTTCAAAAAGTCTTTGGATAATAGAATTAAAAAATTAATTCTGTATAAAAATTTTTGAAACCATATATTTGAGGGATCTTCTAAAATCTTGGGAAATGTGTATTATGAAAAAATTATGTGTGGATTTCAAAATTTTTTTTGCCACCAAAATAAATTTTTCAGTTCCGTTTTTGCACTAATTTGTTGATGTGTCCTTGTAAGCTTGACCATTTGGATGGTCTCTCTTAAGTCCTGAAATGTCGAGGAATGAGGAAAATAACTTCATAAATTCCTTTTTTTGTTTAAGGTTTTTGAATTGCTTTAAACAAAGACCTGACTGATGCAAATGTTGACAGAAAATTCAAACTAATTTTTACAAATTCTACATCTAATGGTTTTGAAAGCTATTGAGGCTTTTTGAGTCACTAAAGCTAAATGAAATATTTAAAAAAAAATACATTTATTTGAAAGAGTGACAGGGGGTGGGGGGAGAGAGAGAAACTGAGGGAGAGGGGTGGGGGGAGGGAGGGATGGAGGGGGAGAGAGCAAGAGCAAGAAACAGGGAGAGATCTATCTGCTGGTTTACTCCCCAGATGCTTGCAACAGCCAAGGCTGGCCCAGGCTGAAGCCAGGGGTCTAGCACTCCATGCACATCTCCCATGTGGGTAGCAGGGACACAGGCACTTGGGCCATCAGGTGCAATGTTGCAAGGCTCAGTAGCAGGAAGCTGGACTGCAAGCAGAGCACCCACTGCAGCACACGGCCATCCCCAGACTGTTGTGTTTGAGCACGGGTAATCTGTGTACATAAAGTTGGTGTGTGGGGCCAGCACTGTGCCCTGGATGCTCCACTTCTGACCCAGCTCCCTGCTAATGGCCTGAGAAAAGCAGCAGAGGGTAGTCCAAGTGCTTGGGCCCCTGCTATTCATGTGGGAGACCTGGAAGAAGCTCCTGGCTTCAGCCTGGTCCAGCTCCGGCTGTTGCTGACACTTGGGGAGTGAACCAGTGGATGAAAGATCTCTCTGTCTCTCCCTCTCTGTAACTCTTTCAAATAAATAAATCAATCTTTAAAATAAAAATGTTTATGTGTAGATGTAAATACACACACCCCACACTGTTCTGGGTAGACTCAAGGAAGACTTCAGCCAAGTTGTGCAATATTCAAATCAGTGTAGAAATCAAAGATTAATTTCAGTGGATTGCAGCTATTTTTAAAAAAACTTATCTTTTCTCTTAAAAATTCCTACACATTATATAAATTACCTCATCTATACAAATTTAGTTTTAAGCTAATATTTTAAAATACTTAGCCAGGATCATATTCAAACCTTCATTTTAAATAGGGAAAGCAAGACCTACTGTTTAGGGACTTGCTTTAAATCCTATGTAAGACAAGAATAACAATTTCACCAGCTGAAAGTTCTCAGCCCTGATGAAATTTAGTCTGAGAATATTTTATACTAATAAAACTTGTACATTAAAAATTAGTTTTAAGCCCAAGGAACACTGGATTCTACACAGCAACCTGTCTCGGTCCTTCCGTTGCAGCAAAATGCCCCGCCCTTGGGGGAAGACAAGCCCCCTTTCATGATCTGTGTCCACTATTCTACTAGTGATCCATATAACTAAAAACAACAAAATCCCTCTTTTTCTGAGAGGCCACAGGGATTAATCTCTCCTTGAGTCTACTTTCCTTACTCGTCAACCGACCTTGGAACAACCGTCCCAAGTCCTCTTCGCCTCGGAGGAGAGAGATTGCATCTGGTAGAGGGCCAAAAACCGGCTTTGGGCCCTGACGGGCAGCCTTCCTGTGAACCCATCAGACTGGAGAGAGTATTTCCCCTGAGCTGTCCTGACTGGGACCCAAATGATAGAGTCACCGAGGCTCTCAACAGGCATCACGATTCTCATAAGGGGGCTATGTGCATCAGCAAAGAAGCCAACTAATTTATCTAAGGTAAGTGCGACTGTCCAGAAGGCAGATGAGTCCCGGCAGCCTTTTTTGAGCACCTTTTTATTTTTTATTTTTTTTAAATATGTATTTATTTATTTGAAAGTCAGAGTTACACAGAGAGAGGAGAGGCAGAAAGAGAGAGAGAGAGAGAGAGAGAGAGAGAGATGTCTTCCATCCACTGATTCACTCCCCAATTGGCCACAATGGCTGGAGCTGTGCCAACCCGAAGCCAGGAGCCAGGAGCTTCTTCCAGGTCTCTCACATGGGCGCAGGGGCCCAAGGACTTAGGCCATCTTCTACTGCTTTCCCAGGACATAGCAGAGAGCTGGATCAGAAGAGCAGCAGCTGGGACTAGAACCGGTGTCCATATGGGATGCCTGCGCTTCAGGCCAGGGTGTTAACCCACTGCGCCACAGCGCCGGCCCCTGAGCACCTTTTTAAAGCATACCATGTGTATGCTCCCATAGATGCAGAAGCCCCTGAGACTAGCCGCACCATTAATGTGGCGTTTGTATCCCAGTCGGCCCAGATGTTAGATGTAAGTTACAAAGATTGGAAGGGTTCAAGAAAAGCTTCTTTATGAATTGGTAGATCTGGTTCAACAGGTCTATAATAATAGAGATGACCTTGTTATTACCCAGACAAAAAGGTGGCCAGGATTATGGCGGTAACCTTTAAAGAACTGGAAAGAAACCCCAGAGATTGGGCCAACAAGGACCCACTAAGACAAGATTGCCCTTAAGAAAAGATCAGTGTGCCTACTGCAAGGAAGCCTCAAAGCCTCATCAGTACCTGGAGGAACCTTCCTGCTCCTTACTTCGGGTTGGCAGAAAAAGAAGTCCATTCCTTGAGAAAAAATGAATCCAAGATTGATATCAGAAAAGTCCAAGTAGATAGATTGCAGGGAACTCAATTACAAAATAAAATTAACAAAATTAGAGAAATCATTTTAAAAAATAATAGATATAAGGGGCCGGTGCTCTGACATAACAGGTAAAGCTGCTGCCTTCAGTGCCAGCATCCCATATGGGCACCGGTTCGAGTCCCGGCTGCTCCACTTCCGATCCAGCTCTCTGCTGTGGCCTGGGAAAGCAGGAGAAGATGGTCCAAGTGCTTGGGCCCCTGCACCCGTGTGGGAGACCGGTAGAAGCTCCTGGCTCCTGGCTTCGAATTGGCACAGCCCCAGCCCTTGCAGCCAACTGGGGAGTAAACCAGCGAATGGAGGACCTCTCTCTCTCTGCCTCTCCTTCTCTCTCTGTGTAACTCTAACTTTCAAGTAAATAAATAAATCTTTAAAAAAAAAGAAAATAATAGATACAAGACAAAACGAACCTTACTTCGCTAGTTACTTCCCTAGGAAGCCTGAGCTCTGCTCCTAGTATTCTTAAACATTCTGAATGAGAGCCATCCCATCCCAGCAGGGTTTCTCTTTGTCCTGAACCGTTTTTCCTGATGATTATCTAGAAGAGATTTTATTAAAAAACAATCAGTACATGCACTTTTGTTTACAGCAGTGCACAACACTAATGATAACTTTTAGAGCTTTCTCTCAGATGTTTATTCATAAAACAAGAACTCATGTTTTTGCTTCTCCCACATGTAGGCTTCTAAAGTGTGTTCTATATTTCTTAGCATGGAATATTTATAAATTGTTGGACATGTAACGACTTAATGTGTGAAATATAACTTGAAGTTGAATATGATTAACATTGATCTACATTTATACATATAAATCAATGTTGGATATAATGTATTTAATTTTTTATATGAAAAGCATGAAAATAGGTGAATATACATTATACATAAATTATTTTAATGTAATTACATTAATATGATCATTATTCACATTTTACAGAAATGGAAGCAGAGTTAATTATAAATACAAAATGTTCATGGAAAGTCACACTATCTTTTAATTCTATTATCCACCAACTTTATGAAGATACCTCATATGTATGTATCTGTGTGTGTGTTAAAGTTAAAACTGACATAATAATTAAAACCATATGTAAATAAGTGTATGTGGGCAAAAATATAAAATATTTTAGTTTCATCAGAAATCTTTGGTAGCATAATAAAGGAAAATTAAAATTACAAAGAAGATTACATAATCTCAAAATGTGTTGCATAAAAAAAATTAGTTTTAGGGGCTGGTGTTGCGGCGTAGCTGGTAAAAGCCAGCACCTGCAGTGCTGTCAAACCATATGGGTGCCAGTTCAAGTCCTGGCTGCTCCACTTCCGATCCCACTCTCTGCTATGGCCTGGGAAAGCAGTAGAAGATGGCCCAAGTCCTTGGGCCCCTGTAATCGTGTGGGAGACCCAGAGGAAGTTCCTGGCTCATGGCTTCAGACTGGCACAGCTGTGGCCATTGTGGCCAATTAGGGAGTGAACCAGCTGATGGAAAACCTCTCTCTCTCTGCCTCTCCTTCTCTCTCTGTGTAACTCTTTCAAATAAATAAATCTTTTTTAAAAATTAGTTTTAGAGGCCGGCGCCGCGGCTCACTAGGCTAATCCTCTGCCTTGCAGCACCGGCACACCGGGTTCTAGTCCCGGTCAGGGTGCCGGATTCTGTCCCGGTTGCCCCTCTTCCAGGCCAGCTCTCTGCTGTGGCCAGGGAGTGCAGTGGAGGATGGCCCAAGTGCTTGGGCCCTGCACCCCATGGGAAACCAGGATAGGCACCCGGCTTCTGCCACTGGATCAGCACCATGCGCCGGCCGCGGCGGCCATTGGAGGGTAAACCAATGGCAAAAAGGAAGACCTTTCTCTCTGTCTCTCTCTCTCACTGTCCACTCTGCCTGTCAAAAAAATTAGTTTTAGAAACAGTTGAAACATTAATAAAGTAAGAACTGGAACATTTGCTCATTAATTTTTTTTTTTTTATTTAACACTCACTACAAAGAAAGAAAAATGGAGGGGCTGGCGTTGTTGTGTAGTGGTTAAAGCCGCCAGTTCATGTCTCAGCTGCTCCACTTCCAATTCAGCTCCCTGCAAATGGCCTGGAAAAGGCAGGGGAAGATGGCCCAAGTATCTGGGCCCCTACCACCCACATGGGAGACCCTGCTGAAGCTCCTGGTTCCTAGCTTCAGCCTGGCCCAAGTGCTGACTGTTGCAGCAATCTGGGGAGTGAACCAGCTGAGAGCAGCTCTCTCTCTCTCTCTCTCTCTCTCTTTCAAAATAAATAAATTTTTAATGAAAGGAAAGGAACTATTCTCTATTTTGTATGATCATCATGCAATGTTACTCACTTCCTGGCTCCTCTACCACACTTCAGGTTAGACCTTGTGGACCCTTCTGTCCATAAGGGCTTCTCTCTTGCTGCTTTAAATTGCAGTGGGTAGAATTACAAGATAGGGGAAGCAGCTGATTTGCACTTTAAAATTCTCAATAGAAGACTTCACATTCCTCTCATCTCACCAAGTTTGCTTTCCTCTGGAAACTTAGTCATAAGATTATTCCTCCACATGTGCAGTTTGGGCAAATTTACGTAACTGGCAGTAGTAAACAGAGGATTAGAAAAAGTGGCAGCTGTAAGCGAGGATACTGCAATAAACCAGGCAAGCGATAGCAGGCTGATTTAGGATGGTGACGGCAGTAATAGAAAGGAGACTGGTGCTAAAGACAATGGGGCAGGTGCTGTGGTGCAGTGGGTAAGAACCGGTGGCATCCCATATCAGACTGTGGGCTACTCCATTTCCAAACTGGTGTCCTGCTAATACACAGGGAAGCAGCAAATGATGCCTCAAATACCTGAGTCTCTGCCACCCACGTGTTAGACCCAGATGAAATTTCTTGGCTCCATGCTTCAGCAGCCATTTGGGTAGGATCTCTGTCACTCTGCCCTTCAGATAAATAAATCTTTAAAAACAAAGAGGCAGAGAGACGGTGAAGACCGAATGAATACAATTTGGTTGCAGAATTAGCTGTGGATGAAAAGAAAACCAGAGATGCCTGAAGTGGGTCGACATCCCCTGAGTCTTTGTGGCTTTGGACATAATTGTGGCCCACCACTTACCTACTACCTTTGGAATTTTGTTACTCATCAAAGCCTAATTTACCTCCTCTTTAAACAGGGATAATACCCACCAAAATAAGACTGATGCCAAGCTGTAAGCCCAGTGCACCGTACATAGCAAGCAACAGGCAGACACATGGGCAGTTTTAACGGAATAACAGAAATTTAAAACAGGAGCCACAGGAAGGCCTTTGGGTGGCGGGTCCCATCTCTGAGCACCTGCGCCCTGAGGAACAGGTTTTTGGAGGCGCTCCACACTTGGACTACGGACGCTCCTTCCCCTGGGGGATCCTGATCACCCCCATGGAGTCCAGGCAGAAACTGGATTGCAGGATGCACGCTGAGCTAGGAGCCAAGGCTTCCCGCTCCCTCCATCTAAGAAACCATAGGGCTACAGTACTGACGCGGACTACCTTTCAGTCTCAACTGGTGGTGGAGGGGCGCAAACACAAGGACGGCCAGATCTGACCAATTGCACGTATAGGCAAGAGGGGCTCAAAAAATAAAGACCTCGATTGCCTTCCGGAGGCAGAAGCACCGTCCGGGCGGGCGTGCTTACCTCGAAGACGGAAATCAAAGAGCGGCCTGGGTTCGAGCCCCCAAGCCACGGCCCCCCGGTCGGTAGTACGACGTGGCCGCTCATCGTGCTCAGCGTTTTCCGTCTGGGAAGGGGGTAGGACAGGCATGACTGTTTTTGGCCGCGCCTTCCACACCTAGCCCAGTGCCACGTAGAGCCTCCGCTGCGAAGTCGCGCGCAGCGACGCCTGACCAGGACCCAGGGCGCCCTGACCGGCAATTTCCCTGAGGTTGCTGGGGCCAGGCCTGGAGGGTGGCGTCCTTTGGCTTTTCTCTTCCCAGGCAGCTCTGAACTGTGTTTATGGGACGTTTACTGCGCTCTAATAAAACAGCAAATAATCAAAACCCGCAGAGCTCGAATCGCCAGCTGAGGCGCCGCCGCGCCGCCCCAGGGCGAGGCCGAGGACTACCGCTAAGCACCGCGCGGTGGCGCCAGGGCGGCGCAGGAAACCATGGCAACGCTTTGCGCCGTCTGCTGCGCCGCGGGTGACGCCGGCACAGCGAGCGCCCCGAGCGCCGGATTATGACGCAAGCGGTGGCGCGGCGGCCTCGCGGTCTCGCGTGACCGCGGGCGCAGCCTGCCGGCCTAGCAACAGCGGCTGAGGCAGAGGCCGAGGCAGGCGGGGTCAAGATGGTGGCTCCCCGGGCGGGGGAGGCGGTGGAGGGAGGAGGAGCCAGACCATAGGCTGCCGGAAACACCGACACCCAGAGACCTCCCGGGGAGCCGCCGCCGCCGCCGCCGCCGCCGCCGCCGCCGCCGCCGCCGCCTCCGCCGCCTGCTCCAGCTCGAGAGACGCGAGCGGGCGGCGGGGCGGGCCGTGAGGGAGACAGAAGGGGAGGGCGGACGGGGCGGAGACACCCGCCGAGCCCCCGCCCCCGGCCGCGGTCCCGGGCCCTGCCCCGCGCGGCCCTGCCCGGCCCGCCCAGCCCCGGTGTGGCAGCGGCTCATGGCGGCTGTGGGGCCCCCGCAGCTGCAGGTGCGGATGGCCCACCAGCAGGTCTGTGCGGCGCTCGAAGTGGCGCTCCGGGTGCCCTGCCTCTACATCATCGACGCCATCTTCAACTCCTACTACGATTCCAGCCAAAGCGGGTTGTGCATCGTGCTCCAGATCTTCCTCCGGCTCCTTGGTAAGGGGACCGGGGTGCCTGCGCCCTGAACTGCTGTGCGGCCCGCGACGTGCCCCGGGGCGCGGGGCAGCCGCGCGCAGCCCGTGCTCCGCGTGTGTGTGGGAATGTGTGTCTTTGGGGACCACGGTTCGATTCCCCACGGGGCCGTCTTTGCAGGGTGGGACGTGGAGGAGGTGGTACTCGTCTCGGAGGTGACAGCGGCGCGGTCCTCGCCGCCAGCCTGCGTGTGGGCGGCGGGAGAGCCAGGGGTGTGTGAACCTGCAGTTTCTCCTGGGGATTGAGTGCTGACTGACCGTGTCCTGTGCGGCAGCCTTGTGAAAGCCGCTCTGCTTGTCCCTGTCGCGCCGTGCGTGACCTTGGACTTGCGCCAAGGCGTGGACCTCCGTCCCCCCCCCCCCCCGAAAAATTCAGAGTGCCCGTGCGGTCCCTTGTGCCGCACCCGCGGGTCCACAGGATCGCGGAGAGTCTGCGGTCAGTGGTGACATCCCAGCCGAGGCTCTGAATGTCAGACCTTGGAACCGTTACCAAAAATCCTCCCGAGAAAGGCGATACTAATAACGAGATCTTCCGTTTTCCGTGAATAAACGAAAAGGCGTTCGACGCGATGTTACAGTGTTGGCTGGCAAGTAGGAAACACTTGCAGAATTCCACCCGGGAGATCGTTGTCTTTGTTGCATATGGATGGAGTATTGGAAAGGTCTCCATCTTCACTTGCACGCCCGGCGTGAGAGGCATTGATGTGTACAAGAATGTTTTCTAAGGCATTGCAAACTGGCAAATGTTGTCGATGAGGTCACTGTTGCGATCAGGCTGGTAGGCTGGAGCTTTTGAAGTGTGAATGAGCGCTGGCTGGTGGTGAGGTCCTTAGCAAGCTTTTCGGAATTAGCAGCCATCTGTTGCTGTATTCCTAAGGCGAAGGAGTGGCAATAAAAGCTGAATTTTGTTCTCAGCAGTAAGCGACTGTCCCACAGTTGTCTGCTGTCGCACAGCACTGGCGCTGGTGCTGTCTGACCTAACCTTCAGGCATTCCTTGGAGGTGAGCGGTGTTCTCCTCACTTTACGGATCGGGACCCTGAGCGTCCCAGGGGTCAGTGTTCTGATACCCCGTGGGTAGGTAATTGTCAGCCTGGACTTCAAAACCCTGTGGACATCAGTTGTGGGTCAGCTCCCTCCTCCGGGCGCTGTGATCCAGGTACATGATGGTGTAGTAAAGATCACGTGCTGGGTTTCAAAACTGAGAGACGTGAACTTGGCGTTCTGTAGCACCAGACTTCTCAGCAACCCGTCGCTACCGAGTTCCCGCTGCTCTTACTTAACCCTGCGAGTGTGTGCTCATCACCGGGATTCGTGGCCAGGATGGGACTGCGAGGATTCTGCATATTCATTCCAGAAATAGCACAGCCACTCCTTGAGTGTTCTGAGGGCATACTGATTGCAGTCGCAGAATCCCTTGGGGACCTGGTCTTCAGTGCAGTGCCCTGTTGAGCTTTTCCCTTCCAGGACAGGGAGTATTTCCCCCAGTTAAGCCATGTGTAGTTTAACGACACTGAACAAAGCAGTCTGGTGTCTCCTTGTATTCTCCATGCTTCTTGTTTTTTGTAATAAGTCACGGACGTTTATTTGACAATTTTAAAGAACGGGACTTAAGGGGAGTGACTTACATGCTCTGTGACTTCGTTTTCTTTACCATCTCACAGGATGTTTGGACAATAAATGAGTAGAAATGTAATCTCGTAAAAGAGCACTTTTGGATATGTGTTAGCTCTTAATAAACTTGTTAGCTTTTTAAAAATATTTTAACGAGTCACTTCAGACTACATGTTCTTATGATAGCATCTCCAAGATTTTGATGCTGTTTATTTCAAAATTTTGATTCTAGAATATTGTTTAGGTTTGATTTTTTTAAAAATATGAAAGTTTCCAAATATGTTACTTATACTGTACCAGTGTAATTATGCTAACTTTTCAAATATTTGAGAATAAAAATAAAAAAAACTCGTGTTAGTAATAAAATAATTCACCCTAAAATGAATATGTTATTAAAAGTGATAGTTTCATATGCAAAAGGTCCCAATAGATATTGAAATTAATTTTCTGCCAGGTTAATGTTTTTGTAGTTGGAGACTTCCTAGAACTACTGTTATACTCAATGGTGTCAACCTCACCCTTTTCTTTAAAGTTAATTTGTAAAAATGGAAATCTATCTGTATAAAAGTATTACCAATTTTATTTATAGTATTTAAAGTATTTATTTCCCCTGACTACAAAGAGGTGCTACAATTGTATTCTCATTTGCCACCAAACTAATTTGAGATTTAAGTAGGTCAGAAAATAAAGCATTTCATTTTGGAGATTCAAACAGAATTGTACAAGATATAGATTAGAACATAAAGTTGTTTCTAAGGAGTTGTTAAATGCTAAATGAAACTCAACCCAAAGCAGCAAAATGCTGAATCAGCAATTTTAAATCCAGAAAGTGCAAGCATAGGCGTTTGCTTTAATAGTATTACTCATATGGTGATAATTCATCTAGGTGGGAAAGGACTTTCTAAGACATAAAATAAGATGCAGAAATTACAAGGGAAAATCTGATAAATTTGAGTACATAAAAATGAAAACATTTTTATGGCATAATTTAAAAAATCCTTAGAAAAGACAAGTCAAGGGGGAAATCATTGTATCATATGTGATTTCTTATTCAATAGGAAAACCTTATACTTCCATAGAAAAATAGGCCTGGCAATTCACAATAAACAAAATGCAGAAGTCAATAAACAAGAGAAAAAGTACTTAGCTTCATTTGTAATTAAAGAAATGCAGTCAAAACAAAATTTTACTTATCAGATTGGTGAAGAATTCATTGTTTGATTTGGAAGAAGTTTGGCATTTTACCTATTTGAAATAGGTAAATTTATACAATTTTGGTAGACTACATAATTTCCATGTAAAATGGTTTGGCACTGGATTGGGCCTTGTGGCGTAGCAGGTTAAGGCACCCCTTGGGATGGCCATAGCCCATATTGGAGTGCTGGTTCGAGTCCCAGCTATTCTAGTTCCAGTCTAGTTCCTGCTAATGACTCCTGGGAGGCAGCAGATAATGGCTCAAGTACTTGGTCCCTGACACCCACATGGGAGACCCAGATGGAAATGGTACCTGGCTTTGGCCTGGCCCAGGCCTAGTTGTTAGGCATTTGGGGAGTGAACCAGCAGACGGAAGATTGATATCTCTCTCTCCCTCTGCCTTTCAAGTCAATGAAAATAAACATTAAAAAAAAAAAAAAACTTATTTGGTGTCATTAAAACAAACTCCTGTGCTTGCATTTTCTGCCTTGGATTTAAATTCACTAATTCAGCATTATGCTGCTCTAGATTGAATTTTATTTAGCATTTATTGTATACCTTTTGACTCACAGTTCCAGCTTAGGGATTTGGACTATAGAATTGTACAAAGACTATGGGCAAGGACATTCATTACAGCATTATTGGAAACAACAAAATAGCGAACTTTAACCTGAGTATGTATTACATGGGAATCTGGCCATTTAATTAGATCAAATGATAGACTTCTTAAAGTTATGTTTGGTACTGTAGAAAGATTTGAGAAAACCTGTAAAGTGAAAAATCAAAATGAATCAGAAGTAGCATTAGCATAGGGAGACACTGGGCTTCTCAGCAGTGGCGCTGTTGACATTTTTGGACAGGGTAATTCTTTGCTGGAGGGGTAGGATGCTCTCCTACACTTTGTAGGACTTTCAGCAGCATCTTTGTCCTCTACCTGCTAGATACCAGTAGCACCCTGACCCATCCCCGGGTAGGATGCTCTCCTACACTTTGTAGGACTTTCAGCAGCATCTTTGTCCTCTACCTGCTAGATACCAGTAGCACCCTGACCCATCCCCCCAATTATGACAGCCAGAACTGTCTCTAGATATTGCCAAATGCCCTCCATGGGTAGGAGTGGGGGTGGGGGAGCAAAATCTAATCCGGGTTGAGAACAACTGGGAGAGGCAGATGGATACTAGTACAAAATACGGAAGCCTAGAAACAGGCCACCAGTGTACACGGAGAAGCTGCGATGTTTCAGAGGTGGAACTGAAGTACATTGAGGGAACAGAGATTGCTCAGTTAGTGGCCATTTATTCATATGGGAAAAAATTATCTCCTCATGTCTGTATAAATAGTCCATTCTAAGTGAATGATTACCTGCATGTGAATCGCAGTGCTTTACATTTTTAGAAGAAAATATAATAGCTTCTTTTTGGTTTCAACTTTAGAGTAGGGGAGACAATTCTTTAAAGAAATATAAA